GGTAAATTGTGCCACGTTATGATAATAGTTTTTATTGCTCATAGAGATACTCCCGTCTCTTTCTAGTTATAATATTCAGGTATTTATATAAAAGGTTTTTCCCTTGTAAGATTAATTTCGAGCACAGCTGTTTATAATTTATGTCATTATCTACGAATTCCCGAATTTGCACCATTAAGATATATGCAATACTCATTCATGTGCTAATATTTAATTCTAACTATCCCTCAATTTTTATGCTTTAGACTTTATATACTCGTGAAAATAGTAGAGATATATAATGCGTTAAGACTAATTTCATACACACAAGATGTACTTATTGTTAGATTTAATTTATAGTTTGCAAGATTATTACATATATGCATGGGAATGGCATTTTATCCCTTCTGCAGATATTTATTTCAAATTGTTTTCTTTTTTTAAACGTTATTATATTCACATAAATTTTCTTAATCATTATTATTATATTACCATACGAGATTTGCCAACTATAGCGCATATCTGTTCATATTTCGAGGTGTCATGACACGCCTTCCTTAGAAAATATGCTTTGTGTTGATCTGAGCTACCTAATCTTCAGGACATGCTTGGCCCTGATCAAGGCTATGATGGTATGTATGGCCAAGGACCTCCTAGTGTACACAGCAGCCATGGTGGTCGGGGTTATCAACCGCAAGGTAATTTATAAATATTATCCAATTCGGTTATCAAATATGTTTCCGAGTAATCGATTTATTACTCGAGTAATCAATCGAATTCCGTAGACGGAATTGAAATGTGTACATAAAAACAAGTTTTATTCTACTCTTATAAAAAAATTGTAATAATAAATTGTATACGTCGGACAGAATAATTTTGTACGTAATAGTGATATCTTATGAACCAATTCTGTCTTGCATTTTAAAAATGCGCGAGAGAGTTTATTAAATACTTGACTATTCTCTTCAGTGTTACTTCTAATACAAAATAATGCATTTAATTGTATGTGTTATTTTAACAGCAGCTTAACCCATGGACTCTTAAATTAAAATACAGGCTATCAACAGTATCTCGCAGTAACATAGGTGACATTTGGTCTTTATGTATTGTTCTTGTTTTCATTATCTAGTTGTTTGATATCCAAACAATAATCGACTTTGATTGCATGTTTAATGTTACATTGCAAATTATCTTTTCTCACTCGTAATTACTCACTCGTAAAATGCTTTTTTAATGTATGTGTAGAGTATTGTAATATTTTTTCAGACATCTTTATGTTTTTCTGCACATATGTGTATTTATATATACTTAGTCTTGTATTATTTTTCTTTTACTGTAATATGCACTTTACTAGTGAGGGAGTCATACATGTAGGAGAATAATATTTGTAAGTAATGAAATAAGAATTTCTTAATGTACAGTGTTTGTTCTCCAAAAGAAACTATTTATACAAATATTTATCATCAAATTTTTGAAAAAACATTGGTAATAAAACTATTTTTTATCTCCTTGTTTCTTGAAAAAATGAGCAATGTCACACTTTTTATTTGTTTTATCATTACAGTAGCATCTAATTAAGCTTCAATATTAATTACTATTACGCTTATTTTATTGTTATAATTAAAACTAAAGAAAATTTAAGGCTTTTTAAAATGTGTTTATATATTTCATGTTGTATGTGTCTGATTATTTAATATTATCATATTAATAAGTAGCTTGGATCATTATAAATAATTTTTGTTTTTCAGCTTTTTCTCTCGCATAAAGCAGATTTATAATAAAAAAGTATGTCATATAAATAAATAAATTATTAATGACCACACACAAATATGATATATACATATATTACTATTACAAAATTATATAAATTAATTATGTGATAATCATAAAAGAAGGTGTAATTATTTTTAGGACGCATAGCAAGCTATACCTCGTAATGTTAAAAAGATGCAAAACACTTTTCAAGTTGTTATGTTTCATTGATTAATAAAATTCTGCACTTTGTGTGCAGTGCAATTTTTATCGATATAATTATTGCACGAGCAGTAAATAATAGAATTTTTTAAAAATAAGATATTTTTTTGATACATAACAGGTTATGACCAGATACCAATAGATTCAATGCAAGGGTTGGAGATAGGTGGTGGATCGACGTATGGTGCAATGGACACTATGGACGTGGCGCACGAAGGTGATTTGAGTTTCGATCATTTGGAAGAGCTCCCTCCACCACCGCAAGACAACAACCAGGTCGCAGCCTGGTATGATACCGATCTTTAAATCCATGCCATTCTAATGCAGTCGCCTTCAGATCCACATCCACGTAGTCCACGTTCGTTTCGTCGAACGGAAAGTGAAACATTCGCTAATCCATATCCATATCGCCTGTATGTAATCGCCTAATATGATCATTCACCCGAGTATATAAACATTATATCGATGTATTATTAGAATTAAGAAAAACTCATGTAGTTCGTACACATATGTATCGTTTAATTGTCCGTACAAATAAACTGAACGATTAAGAAAAATGCGCTCCTTATTGCGTGATTACATAAGAATAAAGATCGATTCTCACACATACAACACATATACATACACGTATATATATAGATATAATAGATTTTAAATTTAAAGAAAAGCATTTAAGTTTAAATTTAGATTTACACAATAAAATTGTATTGTGAAACTCTTCTTATAAGTTTTTAACAATCATAAACAGATTTATATATATAAAAGCTGTATGGATTTTAAATAAGAAATCTTAATTTCAATAAAGACAATTGAGACAATTCATGAAGCAAATCGCTGATAAATAATTATTTTTGTAAATAACAAAGTATTATAGATTCACTAACAAGTAAATGTAAAAATTAAGGATTTTCTGTTTTTTTTTTTAATTTTTTTTATTAATACTTATGCAATGAAAAGAATTTTATCAATAGATTTTTATTTGTCAGTTCGGAAAATGCCGGTTGTGTTTTAAAGTAAGATTTTACACGCACAATTTGTCACGGAAACGTCATTCTTCGTTTTCTGTTCTGGAGAAGAGTATTACGTACAGTCAGGTCTCAGGTCATCAATCGCTGGTTGACTGTTGACTCTCGCACGGAATACATTTACGCGTAAGCCACACACTCCGAAGGTTTGTATCTTATGTTAACGGTTGTTTCTTAACGCGACACGTCTCGAAGAATTGTTTCTTTGAATGTGAAAGGCGTTTCTCGTTGAATGCGAAAGGCGCATTAAAAATTGGCCTGTTTATTCAAACGATTATTTCCGGACAAATGTCAAAGATGGTTGTTTAAATAAAAATAGTGTTTTGCATGAAAAAAAAACTGATTACTATGGAATTGAACAAAATGAGAGATCTAATTCCGTAGAAAAAAATATTTTTATTTTTATATAAGAATAAAAACTTTGTTTTTTCTTTTGATGTTAGAAAAGGTACAAAGTTTTACTCAACTTGAGGATTATTAAAACTTCGTTTAGCGTAACAGGTAAGTCTAAAAATAGAGAAATAATTTGGTCCATCACGTCTTTTATATTTCTTTATTATTTTTTAATTCGTTTTTTCATATTTTTTGTCGTTGAAATATACTTATTTGTTATTGGAATATGTTGACTTGGGATATTTTTTATTTGCAAGTATAACTTCTTGTATATATTATTGTTTCATTAACGCGCACGGATTACCATTGTAATCAAGTCAGAGCAGTCGACAGATATGTCTGAACATGAAATCAAGATAATATAGAAATGTCAAGTATTAGAGAAAGAGAGATTTTTCTCGCATTTTTCTATGTATATTATTTTTAAGACACTAATAGTGGCATCGTGAGTTTTATATTAGGTATTATATTTGCATTTGAAGAAATTAGTATAAGAAACATTCTTTCTAAAATTTTCCGATATTTTATATAAAAAATTAATAGCCTTATATTTTTAGATGAATGTATTTAAAATAAAATTATTTTTACTTATTACTTTCCTAATAATTGTATCAATCTTATTGTAGAAAAATTAATAGCTTGTATGATAATAATTCACTAGACTAAATATCGAATAATTTACAATGACGTAAAAAAATATTTTCAGGTATATATTTTTATACATCTTTTTTGTTACGTCTGATTTAACATCTTATTTCATCGATGCATATAATTTAAAACGAAAAAATATACGCATATTCATTTCAGTGTATTGAAATTAAAACTATCTCGTTACCTCTTGAAATATAATAATTTGTGCTAATAAAGAACTCAAAGTATTAGATAAAAAATAATTTCGTTAAACAAGAGTCGTTATTTTTCCAAGCAAGACAAATGTTGTTTAAAAATCTAATTTATGTTTTAAAAGTATTTCTTATATCAAAAATAAGTAGAGTTTTGTATGAAAATAAAATAATTTTATTGCATTTATATTCGATAAAAAAAATTGATTTCATATACTATACAAAAAGTAAAAAAGAAATATAAATATAATTCGGAAACAAAACAGCTTCTGCACATGATACAGCTTTTAATATTAATGATGCACTCCAGCCTTCAGTAGAATCCATTAAGAGATCCGAAAAACGGTATCTTACTTAAATACATATTTGTCTTTGTGCATGTCAGAGCCCCAACAATAATGACGTGAAAGTGCATCCGCGCATAACACCGTTCCAGAACAATTACAGGTCGTGCTTAACTTAAGATCGTGGGAGTAAATTGCTATAAACTCTTCGGCTCATTAAAAGACTGATCTTATTGCGACATCGTATATATGTGTAATTGCCTCTTTGTTTTTTTTTCATAAACATCAAATACTATAAATGTCATCTGTCATACATGTAATGTAATTAATAGTTAGAACAAGTTGCAGAATTATATTGAAATAAATGAGAAAACTAGCAAAGGTTTAAAAGAAAGAAAGAAACAGAAGGACAGAGGAAAACATAAAGATAGAAGAAAGATTAGCCATATATAAAAGAAAAGAAAAGAGAAAAGATAAGCGCAAATAGTCGCAAAAATGAAGCAAACAGCAAGAAGGTAGAAAATAAAAAGAAACGAGGAAAGGGGTAAATTATAAGTTAAAAATGAGATTCGGAAGATACGAAGACACGAGTGAGCACAGGAAAAGAGAGGGACAAATGAGGGAGAGATGAGGGATAGGCGTCCTTGCTTCAAACTAGTCCATAACTGTACGCACGGACGCCGTGGAGAACCGGTAATGACGTGAAAGTGCATCCACGAGTGAGAAGGTAGGCAGGCAGGCAGACAGACCACCGCTCTCCTGGCAGTATCGCCACGTTCGAAACAATCCTCTGGATCGTGTGGCCGCAGTACCGCTGGAGAAATTGTCCGCCTTTCGACGAGCAAAGTGCGCGCCTGAGTGAAGTGGCAAACGTTGTTCGTCGCGCGAGCATTCGTTCATTTCTGTTCTTCGAGTACGCTTTCATCCTCGTCGCGATTCGGCCAGTTCACATTTGTGTCCTGAATGATTTTTCAATTTTCAGTGAGGTGATTTCGACGCAATTTTGTGAAAGACGCAGTGTGTCGATCGAAAAGGTTAGACTTTTATTTGCATAGCACGTTTGATAATGAATACCGGTAACACACACCTACACACAGACCAAAATTTATTTTGTTATACATTCTAAATGTTTGTTATGTGATAAAGCAAAATTAAAATTAAGATTACAAGATTTAATGTATAAAAACAAAAAAATTTTGCTAATAAATTATATCTCTTGTATATATTATAATACACAATGTATCAAAATGTATCAAAATTACATATAAACTCTTATTTAGATGTTCCTCTAAATTAAGATAAGAAACGATAAAGAATAATTAAAATTAATCAGATATCAAAAGAAATTACTGTTTTGTACAAGAGTTTATATAGATTCTATAAAATAGATATATAGTGTTAAAGAAATATAAAGAAATGTTAAGAAATTTTATATTAAAGCATACAATATAAAAATATTTAATGTGAAATATATTTTTCATATAATATTAAATTTTTCTTATTAGCAAAATTTGCCTGTATGTTATCCTTTCTCTCGATAAAATTTGTGTTATTAGTTTAATGAATATAATTTCTAAATTAACAAAATTAGACAATAAAATTGAAAACTTAACTACAATGAAATAATTTAGATTTAGATTCTTTGATATAAGGATAATAGCGCTTTGTGTCAAGAGATAGCAATAATTTTAATAAAGATAAATACATTGTGCATTATTTACTCGTTTTTCTTCGCACGGTCAACACGTATTCATTCAAAACTGAGAGTCGCTTTATAAATTTAAATATGTTTCCAGAAAATAACTTTTTTAACAATTTCACTCGAAATATTTTTTTACAGTGATCGAGACGCTAATATCTTTGCTCGCAAGAGACAAGTGAGAGGCATACAAGAAATGCATCTTGTCAATAGACAATCTTGCAATTCCTAAAAACCAAAAACACACACGAGCGGAAGATAATTATTTCCGTATAGTCATCCGATACCGTTAAGACACACGCTGAAGAAAAAAGACTCCACAATGAACCTCACGGCTCTTCGAGCTAATCAAGTTCTGGAAAAGAAGCGCTAACAAAGCTCGAGAACGATCATAGATAAAAAAAAATGACCGTCGCGATGGAACACAAGCGGAAGAGTTCGTGGGACTCAAAGGTGAGATTCGAATATGTAGCGCACTTTCCCCTTTCGTGGTATATGCTTTCTTCATTATCCTGTCGCGTCATTAATTAGGAAGTACACCCTCCGTGCGAGAATGTTGTGATTTAAGCAACGAGTGGAAATGCAAAGTACTGGAATATGACTTGCGCACGGAAGAATACATTGTTTTTGTTATAGCAAAGATATGAGTAATGCATGGAGCGAGCATTATGTTTGCTCGAGACATTTACTAGTTTTGTCCAAAAATCGATCTCTTTTAACATTTTCAGAGCGAATATAATTCAAAATAAATGCAAATATGTGTGCCTGATTTTACATTTGTATGCATTTTCAAATTATTTATTAAATAAGATCTTAACAAATGTGTACCGTGTACTTGTTTTAACTGGTAGTTCAATTTCGATAATCTTGAATAGAGAGAGAACATGAAAAGGCGTGTAATATTAATTAATTTAATATTATAACTTTATTATCGCTCAGTACAGATGAGTTATTGTCTTTTTGTTTTATTTGTTTCGGCTGGTTGTTTTGTTGTAGATTTTGCAAAAAAATTATTGCGAAAATGGAAAAAGAACCACCTTTTTTTCAGCTATTATCTAGAAACAATCACGGGCGTTGCAGAAATATGAAATAATTCAGGTTTCATAAGTTGCTGCTTTCGGGCTAACATTTGATCTCGCATATTGTTCGTGACAAATTAGTGACACAGAGAATAAAGAGAGAGAGAGAGAAAGCGCAATTCTGATTAATTTTAATTAACTTTCACGGCATATACTATTATAATATTCTTTTACTCGCGAATAAAATAAATGAAATTAATTCTGTTCTTAGAGATCGCGTCACAGTAATTTTCTAGCTGTAAAAAACAGTATTTTCTTGCGAATAAATAACTTGGATATGTATACATGGCATCGCGTGTCTAACAGCTATATACGTATCACGTGCATTAATGTTTGCCTTTATTCTTCGATTAATTTCGCTAATTCTCAATCTACGATGTGAGTATAAAGGCCTTCGAAAGGCTAGCAAGATTAACGAGAAAGTTTAATTGAAATTACAATTTTTAATTTGCAAGACTTTGTCGGTGATACTGATTATGATGAGTGTAAACATATTTATACACAAGTAATTGTTATTACGTTTGATTTACCTTTTTTTCGTCAATGACAAAAGTCTCGTTCGCCTGATTTACATCTCCATAGACCACTTGATCTTGTTCTTCAATGACCCCGAGTCACATACAAATGCATACTTATGCACTCAGCAGCAAGTTTATGAAGAACTAGGCTGACTGGAATGGAGAGCGATGCGTTAGGTGGGTTGGGTTGGGTTGTCTGGGTTGGGCCATCTGCTTCTATCCCTGATACCGTTACTTTACAAGAGCACCCGATCGCTTGGTATTCTTCAAGATCACATGTGACGCTTGTCCCCGTCTTGTTGTTCGAGTTTAGACATGCAATGATTAATGTCATCCTGTTTAGCCGAGTATGAATTATGAATAGTGTCTTATCGACGATATCTTTCTGTATTGTTTCGAGATATTGCTTATACTATTTATTTCAAAATTTAGTATATGAGGAGAGACTTCATTTTTATTTTTTTTTATTTGATTCTTTGCGTTTTTCTTCTGTCTATTCTTTCTTTTTTATGCTGCCTCCTTTGGAAAAAGCTTTTGCTATCAAATAAAAATATTATGATTGTATAACAGTTATTTACACACATACCTACATGATTAAATATAGAATGTGAAATAGTTTCAGATGCAACAAATTGCTGCATAGAATACATATTTTAACAATCTTTAATAATATAAGGACAATATATATTATACATTAAAAAAAATAAATTATCATTATTATTTTCACAATGTGATTGGTTTTCAGTAATTATAAATACGTTATTATATATAGGTACGTTGTTATTTTTCAAGCTATATAGTATCGCGTAAAAAAGATCCAATTGAATATTGTATGCGTACATGTGTATATGTGAAACTGAACGGATTGTAATTTAAAACGGTCAGAAACTCGTTCCTAGATTCTTGTTCTTTTGGAAAGGTATGGTCTGGTGTTTGGTATAACGGTTGTAACGGTCAAGAAAGTCACGAGAGAACAGTAGCTCCAATGACGCTTTATAGATTCTTCCAGTCGGTCATTGACACTAACTCTTTAGCAAATTGATAATCGGTCAACATTAACAATTTTCTGGGCGCAACAAAATGTTATGTCAATCTTGCATTATTGTTATTGCCATATATTTGTATGATCAGTTTTATTCGCATTTATAAATTAATATGTATAATAATGCTCTCATTATCTTTTTATTATCTTTTATTAAAGAGATTATTTGTTAATAAAAAAATCATCGATTTAAACTGGAAATTGGCATGATTAAAATATTATTGCAAGATATCCTCATTATATCTTGTTGTAGCCAATCAATTAAAATTATTTTCCCAACACATTATACAGAAACATCTTCCTTCGTTCTCATCACTTTAAATATATAAACTTAAAGTTTCCTTTCATACGCGGCTTCATACGGAAGTAGTTTTGGTTCATCTTCTCATTACCGGGAATAGAAGCAATCTCTATTCATTGGAAGAGCAGTTTATAATAAATCTTAATTGATAGCATTTTAAATACTCATTTATAATATCTTAATTATTAGCAAAGCTTATTGTACTGGAACCAGAAGCGAGAGAGCATAAACTTTCATGAAAGTTTCTGGAAAGCGCTTTTCTATCAGTAAGGTCTAATTTTTCCTCGGTCTTGAAGTCGTTGACCGTGTCTATTAACGGAAGAGTTCGAAATGTTGTCCAGTTCAAACGTGTCTTAATCTCTTCGTACAATCGCTATCGAAGCACTACGTTTATCCACTCTAAATTCTACTTTCCAATCTAGTGCGTCTAGATCGGATCAGCTCATCTCAAGCGCGAAACGGCCCATTATCAAGATCAGCATGAAACTTACAACTACAGTCAATCGCGGCGATTTACTATTTGCTATTTACTTCTTCTTTATGAACTTTCTTCCTTTTAGAAATACATTGATTTGCTTGATTATACTGTTGTAAATTCACAAATAAAACACTAGCCTCGCTCGTGTCCAATGATCAGTGAAAAGTGCATGCAAATTTACAAATAGCTCACAAATCGGAGACTCTTGTATTCTCGTTTTGTGTAAGCTGCGTAAAATAATATTTATATATCTGATTTTCAGTTATATTTTTCACAAAATAAATTCTTGTAAATTCAGATATATTCATAATAATATGAATTAGAGATATATAAATATTATTTTATGCAGCTTATACAAAACGAGAATACAAGAGTCTCCGATTTGTGAGCTACTTGTAAATTTGCATGCATTTTTCATTGATATACATGAACATAAGTTCATGCAGATATACATCTATAATTTTGTCAATATTTTTCATTTTTTATCAAATGTTATCAATTATATAATTGCATATTTAATAATGTTATATCACAAATTACGTAAAAACAATTTGAATAAACATTAAATGTTTGATATATAGTTGCCGTTTCTAATAATAGTATTTTAATTACATCATTCATTACATCATTTTGATATTACATCAGAATCGATCATGCGGGTTAAATAAAACTCATGCAAAATCTAAACATTGTTCACGAAGCTGATATCCACGAATGAAAGGCAACTTCTCGCGTTCAGTTCTTCATTCTAACATCAGTTTCATAACAGCACAGGCAATGCACATTTTTGTGTGTAAGTTACCTTTATATAACACGCCAAGACTAGAAAAACCTTTCCTCCCGATGTGGTTTTGCGATTTCGTGAGAAAATATTTTACACACGTAGTCGTATTATACATATTTTGTGAATATATATACTATATAATTCCACAAAACATGGTATAAATTAATTGCACATTTAATAAAATACGTGCATATAGTAGTAAATTTCGATTTGTGATATGTTGTTAGTTGCTACTACTTTAATATACTAATTAGTAGTAACTATACTGTATATGGTCCCTTACGAAAAAAAACTTATTATTAGAATATTGTATGTGTGTGTTCTCATAATTATTAGATTTATAAATCTGAGTAAAAATTCATTAAAATACAATAAATTTATTAACTCGCAAATTTTTCTGTTATATTTTAATAAATGTATATTTTGTAATTATGGAAGTATACATATATCCGTATTGCTTTAAGTCTTGTAATTAGATAATAGTTCTTACGACATTGCATTCCGGAAATGATTGAAAACAGAACTCGAGATAATATCTTTGTTTGCCAAGCTGGTAACTATGTAATATACGTAATATTATGCTTAAGCACGGTTCCCATACATATACGAATCGCGTGCGAAAATCGGTTGACTTTCACGAACGTCGTTTGAATATTCACTATTACTTAATATTTAGATCGCTGCTAGCGCTTTAGTCGACAGTCATTTAAAAATGAATTTTTTATACATGTCAATGCACCAAATTAAGATCTAGCATAATATAAATTCTGTATGTATATATATTTATTAAATATATACATATTTATTAAAATATACATACAATAGGATTTTCACTATACTTGATCTCAATTCTAATGTGCACTGAAACATTATGAATAATATCTATCCTCGATGTACTTGTGTGTATGTATATGGGAATGACATATTTCGCACCATTTAGGTGGGTTTTGACCTTTAGTTCTATATGACCTTTGCAGCAGGAGAGAGCCACTATCCAGATAGTCTCGATTGCAAGCGTATAATCCTTCGCGTTGGAGCGTGTGCCAAGCGTAGCATTTGAACGAATGAACGAAGGCGTAGGCATCGCAGGGCCTATGCAATTGTTATGACTGCGCGTTGCAGCCAAAAAGGTGCGACTAGGAATGATTACGTATTCGTGAATTTACGCGTTCATCGAGTCATGTGGATCTATCGACACACGTGCGCGTGTAATGCGTGTCAGCATCTCAAGCATCACAATTATGACGCGTGTCATGTCATTCGCATGCACACGCATATGCGTTTTAGTTGCATAATACAATTGTAATTAAAGTGAAGACATAACATGTTAAGGTCATGGATATTTGCATTTATTTATTCTGAGCTAGACGCACACACACACGCGAAAACATATTTTATTTCTACTTTCTGAATATTTCTATGATTTTTGAAAGCAACAAATATTAAGCAACATTATAAATGTTATTCTTAAATAATACATTCTGGTATAATTAAATTTGTTTAAATTTGCGGTTGTATTGCAATCCATTCTGATTGCATTGCTTTATCTTAATTCTGAGACGGAAGTACCTAATGCGATCGTTGATGCAAGTCGTGTTATAATCATAGTAATCCCGGTTATTTCGAATTGGTAAAAATATACATTGATGATACAAAAGAATGGAATGTTTCATCAACGGAGAGAGAGATATACCGCCCACTATTTACTAGATAATACTTGCAGATAGTTTTGAGCGCGCGCAACTTTGCTTTCGTAATATTCTTTGCCGTTATTAAGACTTTATTTTATTACAGAAAATATTGTTGCAAATATACAAGAATCAAATGTAATATTTGTAATATAAATAACTCGAATTTACGTTGTGTATTTGGTATAAAGACAACTGTTTATGAACGTGAGAAAAATGATTAATTATAATTAAAAGTCATATAATTTTTTATAGCTTTTTTACATTTGATGTGATTGATTGTTTCCTTGACAATTAATATATTATTATTATTATTATATAATGACTTTATTTTAATACTTTTATATTTATTATATAACACACATTGCTTGAAATAATCATGTTTTTAGAGGAATGTTCAAAAAAATTTCTGTTGTCATATATACTAAATTTTTGTCAAACGCGTTTTTGTAAACGCATAGTTTCAAATTTTTTATTGCTAGTATTTTTGATTCAATTTGCAGAATTGTGACATTGCAAGAGTATGACCTGCTTATTTGAAGCGACATATATATATATATGTATATTTATATAATATATATATGTATCTTTCTCAATCTTACATTAACATTGTCAATATTAAAAACATAAGTACATCTTTATTTGTAGATTTCGGTGAGTACAGTGAGTACCAGAAGATTCAGCCGTGCAGGAACACCAAGCTCGATTCTATCATCCGACAGCGACATTCGATTCACGAGAAAACTCGGTGGCCAATATCGCTGCGGATGCTGCGTCCTCGCTGCTTTCTTATTCTTCCTCCTCTTCTCTGGTGTCTCTATATACCTCGGCTGTAAGTTGTTGCAGACATTGTAGCAAATCAATTTAAAAATCTGTAAAATATTTAAAACACAACTTTTTAAAATGTTTTTTAATTATTCTTACTTAATTACATGTTTCATTTGTTTTTAATTTTTTTAATTATTTTTATTTATTTTTTTATGACAAGCTAATATTTATAGGATTATACATATTGATTGACACAAAAAATATATTTCTTATATATAAAATTATCTTCGAATTGAGTAATATTTAATTTCTGACAAATCTTCTTTCTAATAAATATAATACCTTTTTAATATAAAATCTTAAAAACTAAAATTTAATTCTTGTGTATTATAAAAATGTTCTTCAAATATATGTCCTTCTCGAAGAAAAAGATTGTGAAGGCAAATATTTTAGAATTTCTTATATCGGAATAAGATATATTTCGTTTTTACAATCTTCAAAAGTTACTCTATATACGTAGAGAAATCGTTGTGAGAAAATGCATTCAAGATGCATTCGCGTGATGGTTTTTCTTATAGAAAAAATATACAGAAAACAAGTATTTTATCAAAGAATTTAATCAATTTCACATAGTGCATACACGCACACACTTTATATCATTTTAATTATTCTTTTAGTTTTATCTATAGGTATATACACACATATTGGATATATTTATTGAGCCGATACATTTTCATCACATGAACGTTCGCCCCACTTTCACTTGCCGTTCATATGTATGTATATGTATAAGCGCAGAGGGTACTGATGCAAATAAATTATTTTATAGTAAACTGGCAATTGACGGCCTAGTGAGCATGAAATTATCCTGCCACATCGTGATCGTTTGCCAGGACGACAGATATATTTATGAATCGGTGCACGAATCACGGACTGTAAAGTGCAATCGGCATCGAATCACCTTGTTTAAATGATCGACGTTTTCTTATCAAGCACTTCAACTTGTTTAGATACAATGTATACATCATATGCACGCGATATACATCATAATAAGCGAGATGCGAAGAAGAAAAGTAACACAAATTTTTTAAAAATAATTATTTCAAAAAAATAAAAATGCAAATTGAATGCGTGTATATGTAAGGAAAATAATTAGGCTAAAACAATAAGAGATCGACGCAACTAAAAATTTTTGATTATATTTTTTCATATTCCTCAAAAAAATGTCGATTTAAAAAAAATAATTTTTGATTACTGAAAAAAGTTTGATTAAAAGTATATATACTAAGTGTATATAAATACCAACACTACTTCGAATATATACTCGGTAACTCGGTCAGACCGTTATGCGTACGAGCTGAAAGACCTCAATGGGCTTTGGCCGCATCACCTTCTTCCTGCTTTCCATTCTCTATTCTTCAGTCATATGGCTTTGATTAAAGACGTATATTACATATCCATTTCTTGTGCTATAAATTTTACTTTAATGCAACCATCTTACAAATATATTGCAAAAAGCTATCGCGCTAATTAATTAAATGATTTATACCACACTTGAACTTAATTAGTTAGTTAATACATGAGTATAACATTACACTCAAGCGAAACAGCACGAGATTAGTAATTCCTATCGGCGCTTAATCCGTGTTTACGAGCGAGAGGAATAAGAGGTCATCGAAGATATTGCATGGACGCGCGCGGGCCGGTCCATTGAGGGTTTCCAGCTGGTAAACGTATAACGGTCTGACCGAGTTGTTTAGTTGATAGATATATGCCCAATTCAATGTTTAACCTTAAAGGTGGGGATCCGTGTCCTTGAAGCATTTTGATCTCGCGACACTGTAACCTATATTTTATAAATATGCAATTAAATATGGATTCAATTTTATCGAAGAAAGATAAACGAAATTCGCGGATCTATCAATATATGCAAACAAATTGTAAAGGATTATTTTTTACTTACACAATAAATACACACTAATCTATATAATCACTCTCTTAAAAGAAACTCATTAATCATTAAACTAATATACATATATGTAGCATTTTCTACTTCTTTTTTATATTTTTGACATACATCTATTTTCTAAAATACTTTTATGCAGTATTTTCTTATTGTTATAATTTTAGTATATTATTTTTGACTTTTTTATTTTCTCACCTAAGTATTGAAATTTTTTATCTGACATTTGAGTTTCTAATGCATTTCCCTATACTATAATATTTTGTTTACTATTATTAACTATTATTTATTCTCCTTTACAGAATATAACTAAAAATAAATAATTAATGTTAAATATTTGTTTTTATTTTAGATACGTTCCTCACTTCGGATTCACCGGGCGATCAAATATTTCTCGCAACATTCCGAGTTACCAGAGGTGACTCCTTCACCGCAGACTTAGCAGATCCCTCCACTGAGACTTTCCGGATACGATCGCGGGAATATCGTGATCGCTTTAATCTTATCTTTCGCCGCAGCTGGCTAAAATTATCATTTCTTACGGCAGATGTTTTAGCGCTTGATGGGTAACGAAATTTTAATATTACTTCACGTTCCCACAATAATTAAATAGCCAATTATATCATCTCTTGACATTGTTTTGCACTGGTCAACGAGACACATTTAAAGATATCAGCAAAGTATTACTTGCAAATAAATTATGCAATAATATTCAACGTGGAGCATGTTATATAACAGCAGAAAATTAGTCAATTTAAACTATATATACGCTTGATATAAACTTGATTTAAACTATATGCCACAAACTTGATTGGTTCTTTTATTTGTTTCAAAACGTTGGCTCTTATATAGAAGGGAAAAGCTAGTCGATATATAATGAAAACTGATGAAAACAGCTTGGGGCTGTACACGGCATAGAGAAATCGGATGATATCGCTTCTCAGCTTTCTAGTGCGCGTAGTTTCACGATACTTGTTGCTTTCAGAATGAGATGTTACTGCGACTGTATTCATCAATAATGTGTTATTCATTCAACAATATCGTGCTCGTAATATGCATCGATTTGTAACAGCCATTCACGAAATGAATTGCAGTCCTATAGAATCGCATTGTTCAGAATCTGAAATCCTAAAGGAGTTGTAAAGAAAAATTATAATTTTAATTTCTTTCTTTACAAATTCCTAAAAACAATAACAAATTTTTAAATTTCTTATTGTTTTTAGGAATAAATAAATATTATACTTGATAGAAGTTTTTATGAAAAATATTGCATATTATATACAATATAACATTGTGTAGGCTTTTTAATATTAAAATAATTACAATAATCATTTTGATTGCTAAGTAAGTTAAAAAATATTATTAATTTTTTCAATATATGTATGTATTTTATATCTATTGCATTTTTATAGGGTGGAAGGCCGCGATTTGGTGGTACATTTTGAGATTAGGTTCGATCCGCGATATCAGACTATAACTACTGGAAATATCGTGGACATTCTGTCGCGGGAATTAAATCCCGAAACATCGCGCTATTTGGCGAATCTGACAATAGAGATGAAGAGTCTCGAAGTACAAGAAAGTCTAAAGGCCCTGAACGCTCAAATTAATCCACAATCATCCATCTCGACATTACCGCCTACAACGACAGCACCTCCGCCAAGAAAATGCAACAAGCTGGACTTGCCTTATTGTAAACATCTCCCTTATAATATTAGCTCGTATCCAAATATATTGGAGCATAAATCGTTGGCAGATGTCGAAGAGGATGTTATTGCTTTCAGGTATGTTTTCTCCAGACTCTAAATAAGTCTAGAGTAAATTTGGATAAATTAAAAAAAAATCAATTTATCATTTACCACATTACTTGCTTAATTATATACTTTAATCCTTCAAAAATTATGTAAAAACTTCAATAATATTTTTTTATTATATATTCAAATTAATAACAACCATCATATATTAAACACTGCATAATCTAATCATATATAATATGAAATTAGAGAACTAGTGGACGCGGAATGCTATCCATTGGCCTACGACTTTATCTGTCAGGTGCTGCAGCCTGCGTGTCAATTGGGTCATCCGGAAGATGTGCTGCAGTTGCCTTGTAGGAGCTTTTGCAGGGAATTTTGGAATGGATGCGGCAGTCGTCTTTCTGAGAAGATAAAACGGGCCTTGGATTGTTCCAATTTTCCCGAATATATCGGGCCTGGTAGTTGCAGACCAAAGCCAGGTGTGATTAATTACCAAAAGTAGTATAATATCGTAATTATTACGAGCAAGATCGCTCTTTACGTAAGATGAGATGTTAACCGCATCTTTAAATTATCTTTGAATTAATTCATATGAATAAATCAATGTGGATGTAGGATGTGTGCAAGCACTTCAGTCTAAAGCTTTATCACCGAGAATTTGCGACGGCGTAATCGATTGTCCGGATCTTTCGGATGAAAAAAACTGTGCCTATTGTCGAGATGGTTACATGCATTGCGGAGTAGGAAGAACCTGTATTCCGCATACAAAACGATGCGATGGCAAAGTGGACTGTCCGAATGGCAGCGATGAAAAAGATTGTCGTAAGTAGTATAAAATACGAAAAATATGGATTAATTTACTTTTAATACAGAAATAATGACGAAATAAATGATCAAAGATAAATTGATGAATAAATAAATTGTTGTGCATTTATTGCAGTACTTTTGGCACCGAGCGTGCATGTATTAAAATCACAATCTTGGAGCACACCTCATGTCGCGAAATACAATAAAGAGGGATATGTTGTATTTAGTGAAAAAGGTACTATTGGCAAACTTTGTACGGCAAATCTAAATGCTACCTTACCAGAAACTGAAATGGATAATGTTCTTCAAACGGCAGCAAGCTCACTCTGTACTTTACTCACATATACGTAAGAATCTTATCGTGTACTTTACATAAATATCTTTTCCATTATTGGATATTCAAAATACAAAAAAAAAATAATAGAGAAAGCTAAAAGAAAATACCAAAGAGATACAAGGTGAAGATCTAATAAATGTAAAATCTTTTCTCGGTTTCTTTGTTAATAATTTTTTTTATGAAAAAAGGAAAATTTTATTTTTATTTGTACTTTTACTTTCTATAATTTTTATTACGTGAAACACATCTAGCTAATAATTTTTCTTGTTTATTTTGCAATTATCAAAATAAATTTTTCTATTTTATTTTATTAATTAATAGCTTAAACAGATATTAATTGTAGTTAAATATATATGTGCTTCTTTTACGATTTTATTAGAGTTATAATTTTGATTTGTGCATAATTTAAGATTTAGTCATATTTTATATTTTTATTTCATGTAGACTTAAAAAAAGAATTTTATAATTTAGAAATATGTTTTATAATCTTTTTAATGTAGTGGCGTAGCTCTTGTTGAAGTAAGAATTGATGACGAAGAAGATGTCCCATATGTATACATGGAAGATCCATCAGCACCGGAAATCACTTTTGTCAGGGCTCCTTGTCCTAGCAAGGAAGTCCTATACGTTCGTTGTTCCGATCTTGGTACGCAAATTTTCTATTTTCTATTTTTCTAATATATTACATACACAATAGAAAAATTATCTTAAATATCTTAAATAGATCTTATGCACGTATTATACACGTTACATATACACTCTTCAAAATATTTAAGAGATAAAAAAATTGTCCAAAAAATAGGCAAATTTTAAATAGTTGTAACCTTGTTTTAAAAAATGAGAATTAAAATTTTTTTAAATCCCTTAATTATTTTGAAGAGTGTATAATACGTATGTATAATTATTTTATTATATTTTATATAAACTTGTAAATAATTTTTTATTCTTTCTGTTGAAAACTAGAATGTGGAATACAACCTTTACGTACAAGTGACGGAACTCAAAGTCTTAATAAGATGGCAGAACCCGGTGACTGGCCTTGGCATGTTGCGCTTTTCAAGGAGGGAGTTCATGTTTGCGATGCTACTCTTGTGGCGGAAAATTGGTTGCTCACAACTGCGTATTGCTTTCAAGGGTACATTTAATATTTCTACAAAAAAGATATATAAGATAATATTTTATTAAAAATATTTTCTTATTTTATATTAATATTGTTATATATTGTAGCAATAGAATTAAAATTTTAGTTAAAATTTTAATTGAAATTAAAATTTGAGATATAACATACAGTACAACAAAAAATTTATTAAAAAAATATATAATATATATTTAATTTTAAATTTATTGTTTCTTTTTTCTAGTCAACCCAAAGCAGAATGGTCGGCTAAACTTGGTGTCGTACGACTATCGAGTACATCACCTTGGCAACAAGAACGCAGAATCGTTGGCATGATTAAATCACCGGTGGAAGGTACGACTGTTCTGATAAAACTGGATAGACCAGTAACTTTCTCGGATTTTGTGAGACCAATTTGCTTGCCCTCCAACGAAGACTCACCGAGCAATACATCACAATGCAATACTTTGGGTTGGGCAAGAAATCGTACGTTGATTAATTGTTAATTGTCTATAATTGTGCCTAATAATTGATTGAAATTTAGATAGTTTAAAATGTTCCACATTCTTCTAAAAGTTAAAATTAAATTTCAAAAGATTAACTTTACAATTATCGCGATATACATATATTTGATAACGTATTTACTTCAAATATATATATTTATTAAACATATCGTTTCAATAGTATAAATGGAGAATCTGAGCAAGCATTTTTTCATTTTATTAAATTATATATTAATTTTAGAAAAATATTAAATGTAATATTTTTATGACTTAATGTAAATATTTTACGTTATGTTTGTTTAATATTCTATCATATATATATATATATATATATATATATATATATATATATATGTGCGTGTATATTTCCATCATTTCTTAAATTATTTTTGAAAAGTACAAAAAATTATTGAAACAAATATATATGTAGAATCTTTTTCTTTTTGACAGGTGATTTATTACAAAGAGTACAGTTGAAACATAGTGCAATGGAAAAGTGTGAAAATATTAGTATTCCTTCGGTGAACAGTGTTTGCACTGAGCAAGCATATTCCATGGACGATTGCAATGTAAGTAATATTATGTTTATATAAACATTTGCATTAAACAGTTTTGTGTTCTTCTCTATTTTAGTAAAAAGTTTTACATTGAACACCAAATATTAATAAATTTTACACACTAGACAAAATTTTGATTAATAGTATAAATTAACTTTTTATTATTAAATTTTAACAGGAAGAAGAACTCGCTGGCAGTCCAATGTTGTGCCTTCAAACAGATAATCGAAGATGGGTTTTGGCTGGTATTGGTAATTGGAGAATAGCTTGCTCAAAGGATGGCATCGAAAGGCCTCGATTATACGATAAAATTGCATCACATATTGACTGGATTAAATCTACCATTAGTTGAAAGCTTTAATTGAATTACTCAAATAAGCATTATCTTTTAAATATTTCTCAACGAACGGAATATATTCTCGAATCTTAAAAATCGAGTGAAAAAAAATAATGTGCATCGTAATCCAAAATTGTGACTTATATCAAAGTTAGAAATTACTGTTACATGATCGATTGTTATTATACGCTGATACATTTAATTGTGTCTGTTTTGTATATGTTACCTGTTATTAATATATAATTTTGCCAGATAAAAATATATTTTCCATTTATTACCGAAACGTGCAATCGTTTTTGTTTCTATAATATATATAAATATAAATATTATTATATATAAATGTAAATAAATCTTTCATAATTAAGAACAAAAGTTCTTTGTGTTACTGTGGCATAATTTTTTAATTTATTCTTTTGTTTTATATATTTACTTTATTATATGGTATACATAATTGTTTTATAGTTTATATCTAATTACTATGTATTATATTGTTAGTATATATTATTATAGTTATAATGCAATTATATGTATATTTATAAGATCGTTTACACATTAAACTTTCTCAAAATAATAATCTAACTTTTTATCACTTGCGCAATATACAATATAAAGATGAGAAAAATGCATAAAATTCATTTATTTAATACTTATTATAATATTATGATAATGAATTAAATCTAAAAATATTATTTACTTAATAGAAATACGGCGAATTAAAATTATGTATATATAATCAAAAATGAAAAATTAAAATTGTGTGCATAATAGAAATTCGACGAATTAAAATTATGTACATAATAGAAAATCGGGAATTAAAGTTATGTACTCCCTCATAATAAAATTATGTACATAATTAATATTTGGCGAATTAAAATTGTGTACATTTGCTGATTATATATTATTTATTATTTACGCGTCGAAAACTCCCGCGCGTAGTAATACATGAAATCGGCCGAAATTCTGACGTCACGACGTTACCAACTTCAGCCAGCGCCGCCATTAGTCAGTGCGAGTCTAGCGGCGGAGGAGCAGAGGTGCGTCGCGAATGCTCCGCGTCTGTCTAGATTTCGTGTGCGCGTAACGCGAATAAACGGGAGTGCAAGTCCGGGAGTGTCGGTTTTTGACGTGATAGACCGAATAATATGCTCGAAGAGCATTCGGGCGTCGATGGGGACTTGGGGACCCGGGAGCCTCAGAACATCGCGAGTTGGGGATCGGAGGGACGAGGGAGGAGGGCGTTTTTCGTGTATATTTCGCCGCTACTCGGTCGCCCGAGAGCCTCGAAAAGATACCTCATCGTCTCGAAGGGTATCCCGGCGTCGACGGGGCCCCGGGAGTCTCAGATCATCGCGCGAATTCGTGGGATTGCGAGCTATGGGTTGGACAAGGGGAGGGGGACTATGGCTTGAGACATCGTTTCGACGGTATTCGGACTATTTCTATATTTATCGTGTGGTATTTCGGCATCGTCCTCTCGACGAGGAGTTTCGCGAGTGCTCGAGCATCTCCTGGGGTGCTCGAATATCGTAGAAAGGGTTCAAGAAGCATCGAAACCGTCGATTCAAATTGTAGGGGTGGGGCGGCTATACCCCTCAGTCGCTTGGAAAATGAGCTTTGGTGACGCTTCCGCGTAACGGTCGTGGCGCGCAAGAGTTACTTCCCCTGAATGGGACTTCAGTTTCTTCACGATGATACGTAATAACGCGGCGCGCCGAGAGATGTCGCGATAGACCTCTTAGACATCACGGGTGAATTTAAGGACATTTCGATGCGTTTAATGTGATTAAAATACTCGGACGCTCGCTTTCCCGGAATCGGAAAAGTATATTTTTTTAACAGATGTTTTGTTCGTGTTTTTATTCGAGAATGCGATATCAAACGTGATCAAGCGAAATACTCGAAAGTGCCGAATGCATTCGCAAGTGATATTATTTTTTCGTCCGTTTATTTCGTCCGTATCGTCCGTTTATTTCGAAGTGCATCTGTGTGTAGTGAAGTGCAACAAATAATTATTGCAAATATAAAATAATAGAAAAAACAGTGCAGTGATCAGTGCCAAACCATATGGGATGACAGCAGAGCAGCAGTGAAATATAAAAGTGGATATATGTATAAAAGGAGAAAGGTTTGGATAATCGACTTAATGCAATGTGAGTTAATTTTTTCTTTATGTTACATTCGGATTTTTTTTTATTTTTCGGGAGGGAATTACTTTTGTAGCGACTTCTATTTTTTTTTGACTAACTAATATAAAAAACAAATATTAAGAAAAACATCTAATCTGAGAAAAAATAAACCTAACTTGAGAAAAAATAATACTAATATTAAAAACTATAGAATAAATAATAGAAATAATAATACTAATATTAAAAAAAATAATTCTAAAATTTGGACAAACGTATTTTTGTTCTAAATTATTAAAGTTCAAAATTATTGAAAGTTAATATAATATTGAGAAATGGCGCGCACGTAGCGTTAATTAATATAGTTTCCGTATTAAAATATAAATTCTTTAAATTCAGATGCCACATGTACATCACTAAAAACACGATATTTGCAAGTGCCAATAAATTTTAAGCGGAGATAGATCGTTGTCGATTTGGAAGCAAAATATTTAAAAAGTGACCGACTTTAAAAAATTTCAATACTCATGCACAGTTGTATTTAGAATCAATTCTTATTGTTTGGAACGTTTGCAATCGAAACCTGTATCAATAAAAATACAACAAATTGAAAATCTTGAAATTTGAAGAAAATCATCTTTGACAGGTTTCTTAAACTACTGTAATTTTTAAGGCGTGTGAGTACAAGCGAAACGAAATTCACTTCACACATCTATAAACGATTCTTAATAAGACTGCTGATTTGGATTTGCGTTATTTTCAATTTGAAAAATTTTTTTTCACAGTTTTGTTTAAACTGCTGTATTTTTAAAGTGTGCGACTTAAAGCGAAACGAAATTCAGTTCACACATCTATAAACGATTCTTATAAGACTGCTGATTTGGATTTGCGTTATTTTCAATTTGAAAAAATTTATTTTTGACAGTTTTGTTTAAACTGCTGTATTTTTTAAAGTGTGCGACTTAAAGCGAAACGAAATTCAGTTCACACATCTCTAAACGATTCTTAATAAGACTGTTGATTTGGATTTGCGTTATTTTCAATATGGGGAAAAATTTGAACTTTTGATTTTTCGACTGACGACGCGAGCGATCGACGTAATATCATTTTCGGTATTAAAAAAATTAATTCCTCATAGTCAGCTGTCAGATTCACACTAATATATATTGAAAACACATTTTCAAGTGCGTTCAAAGTCTTTAAGCGAAGATAGATCGATTTCGATGTTGAAACGAAAAATTTAAAAAGTGACAAGCTTTAAGATATGTCAAATATACATGCTCAGTCGTGTTTAGAATCGTTTCTTGTGGTTCGGGACATTCGCCTGCGAATGTTACATCGATGTACAAAGCAGAATTAAAAAATCTTGAAATTTGAAAAAATTCATTTTCGACAGTTTTGTTTAAACTGCTGTATTTTTTAAAGTGTGCGACTTAAAGCGAAACGAAATTCAGTTCACACATCTATAAACGATTCTTAATAAGACTGCTGATTTGGATTTGCGTTATTTTCAATTTGGCGAAAAATTTGAACTTTTGATTTTTCGACTGACGACGCGAGCGATCGACGTACTATCATTTTCGGTATTAAAAAATTAATTCCTCATAGTCAGTTGTCAGATTCACACTAATATATATTGAAAACACATTTTCAAGTGCGTTCAAAGTTTTTAAACGAAGATAGATCGATTTCGATGTGCAAGCGAAAAATTTAAAAAGTGACAAGATTTAATATATGTGAAATATACATGTTCAGTCGTGTTTAGAATCGTTTCTTGTGGTTCAGGACATTCGCCTTCGAATGTTACATCGATGTAGAAAGCAGAATTTAAAAATCTTGAAATTTGAAAAAATTCATTTTCGACAGTTTTGTTTAAACTGCTGTAATTTTTAGAGTGTGCGAATTAAAGCGAAACGAAATTCAGTTCACACATCTATAAACGATTCTTAATAAGACTGCTGATTTGGATTTGCGTTATTTTCAATTTGAAAAAATTTATTTTTGACAGTTTTGTTTAAACTGCTGTATTTTTTAAAGTGTGCGACTTAAAGCGAAACGAAATTCAGTTCACACATCTATAAACGATTCTTAATAAGACTGCTGATTTGGATTTGCGTTATTTTCAATTTGAAAAAATTCATTTTTGACAGTTTTGTTTAAACTGCTGTATTTTTTAAAGTGTGCGACTTAAAGCGAAACGAAATTCAGTTCACACATCTATAAACGATTCTTAATAAGACTGCTGATTTGGATTTGCGTTATTTTCAATTTGAAAAAATTTATTTTTGACAGTTTTGTTTAAACTGCTGTATTTTTTAAAGTGTGCGACTTAAAGCGAAACGAAATTCAGTTCACACATCTATAAACGATTCTTAATAAGACTGCTGATTTGGATTTGCGTTATTTTCAATTTGAAAAAAATTATTTTGACAGTTTTGTTTAAACTGCTGTATTTTTTAAAGTGTGCGACTTAAAGCGAAACGAAATTCAGTTCACACATCTATAAACGATTCTTAATAAGACTGCTGATTTGGATTTGCGTTATTTTCAATTTGAAAAAATTTATTTTTGACAGTTTTGTTTAAACTGCTGTATTTTTTAAAGTGTGCGACTTAAAGCGAAACGAAATTCAGTTCACACATCTATAAACGATTCTTAATAAGACTGCTGATTTGGATTTGCGTTATTTTCAATTTGAAAAAATTCATTTTTGACAGTTTTGTTTAAACTGCTGTATTTTTTAAAGTGTGCGACTTAAAGCGAAACGAAATTCAGTTCACACATCTATAAACGATTCTTAATAAGACTGCTGATTTGGATTTGCGTTATTTTCAATTTGAAAAAATTTATTTTTGACAGTTTTGTTTAAACTGCTGTATTTTTTAAAGTGTGCGACTTAAAGCGAAACGAAATTCAGTTCACACATCTATAAACGATTCTTAATAAGACTGCTGATTTGGATTTGCGTTATTTTCAATTTGAAAAAATTTATTTTTGACAGTTTTGTTTAAACTGCTGTATTTTTTAAAGTGTGCGACTTAAAGCGAAACGAAATTCAGTTCACACATCTATAAACGATTCTTAATAAGACTGCTGATTTGGATTTGCGTTATTTTCAATTTGAAAAAATTATTTTTGACAGTTTTGTTTAAACTGCTG